GTGTGTGTGTGTGTGTGTGTGTGTGTGTGTGTGTGTGTGTGTGTGTGCGTGTGTGTGTGTGTGTACAAACTGTGCTTGTGGGTATGTGTACAGGGTTGCATGTGTGTCTGTGGATGGACTGTGTGTGCACATGTTTTGTGTACAATAAGTGAGCAGAAAGGTCAGAAGAGAAAGCTTGTGACCCGCAGGTTTTTTCAAGTTGAACATGTGGAAGTTACTCTGCTGGTAACGCTTTATTTTACAAGTCTGGTATTTCATAATACTTTCTTGCACGTTTCCTGGGAGAAGTAGTTTGGTCCGAAATAAATTGTAAGTCATGTTACTGTTGTTATAGCTTAGTTAGTTGTGTTAAGAAGCAGTTGTTGATTTTCAGAGGAATCTCTTTAAAACAACTAAAAGATATTTCGGCTTACCCAAATGTCTGACAGGTGAGTTGGAGGGCAGCACAACTTCAATGAAGGGGACACAAGATTCAGTCAACACAACCTTCATCTCAGTTCCTTATATATGCTGTATTTATCTAGGTATATAATATACATAGATTGCGGGTAAATTATCCAATCAGAGCATCACAAAGATACAATTGGTGATCAGAATAAAAACTAACAAATTGCCATTATGATAATCAAGCAAAGGCGGCGGCAGTTGTTTTTTAAATATATGAACATCACACTGGCAAAACATTGGATAAGGACGAGAGGTAAATAAGACAAAAGACTTTGGGTATCCATCAAAAATCATGTAATCTTACAGTTTTATCATATGTAAATAGACCACTATATATCCAACAACTACTATATATCCAAGGAAGCAGAAATCAAAGAGTTTGAGAAAAAAACAAAACATCATTGACGACAAATGACTACTTTTCAAAATTGTATATAGGGACTACCAATTATTTTATTTTCAGTTCATCATAGCTCAAGGTGATGTCTTAGAATGTCTTTTGTCCAACCAATGGTCCAATTCTCAAAGAAATTCAGCTTAAAATGATTTTTTTAAACTGAAAACTAGCAAATATTTGCATTAGAGAAGCTGAAGCCAGTGAATGTTTGACAGACAGACACATGCATGCACGCGACAAAATGCATGATGTCCACACAGCGGCGATAACTTCGTTTCTATGAAAAGAGACAATGAACCACAAGCCACAATGTGCTTCTACAAGGATTAGAGTGGCCACTAATACAACATCATGTCAGCTTCCTCCCTCTGACCTCTGCTCATCACTCTCTCGCTGTCATAGTGACTGGAGAGTAAAAAAAAGAAGCAGAGAATGAATCGAGGCAGGTGTCAGCTCGCGGCCTCTTTCCCATCACATGCAGGTGAAGTGGAATACAGTGGAATACAGTAGAAGTGTGAGAATTTAATGGTGTGAGGGAGCATAACTGTGTCGTGAATTAGTCTGAGTTCTGGCGTGTACATGTGTGTTTTACCAATGCACTGGGGTATATGAGATTCTGCAGCAGTGCGTTCACACATGAGCCTTCACTGCAGAATCCAACCATGATGTCATCTTTTCCTTTCATCTTTCTCTCTCTGAATCTCTCAAGCTGTGGAAGGAGGGGTTTAATTCAGTCATGATGTCAAGTGAGAGGATCGTATTAAATAGTGGAGAGAGGGGTGGAGAAGACGGGAAGAGCAACAGGAGTAAAAGGGTTAATTTGCACTTAGTGTTTTACAAAAAGAAAACCCAGCAGCTGTGATGAAGCAGTAGATCCCTTTCTCTGCAACTCATTATTACGGAGTATTAAAACTTAAAGTAACACCTGGCTCACTGAGCTAATCCAAAACACACTTTGTACCTTCCACAAAATATAATCAAATGTAACAATGCTCTGAAGGATGTAGTGCTGAAACAATAGTCAATTAACTAAGGAGCTGGATCAACAGAAACGTTGATAATGAATAAATATATTTATCATTTTTAGACATTCTTTTTCTTCTTTTTCTCAAACATGAGGATTTGCTGCCTTTCTCCATTTTAGGCATAATTTAATATGAATAGAAGATGAATTCCTGCACACTGTCGATGACTTGTACTCACTCATCTTCACCGGGTAAATCTCATTCGGACAAACAGTACAGGTACTTTATACAATCATTATATAAATTACCTTATGAAGGTCATTAATAAAGTCAGTATAAAGGTTTCGTTTTGTTGTACAGTCAGACCTTCCGAAAATGTAATACTGCAATAATTGTAAATTGATTTAATAGTAAATTGAATACCGTTGCATTATGGACTACTGGTGAAACTAACAAAAACAGCTATATTTTCAGAAAATAACTGGGTTCTTATGCAGTAACAAGCACTTTTATAGACCTTAGTGACATTTCTTGGTTTGGATTTAATACACACAATTACCTCCGTCTGTCACATACAGTGGGGCGGCAAGATAAATATGAACACATTAGTGGAGAAACATAATGAATACAGATTCCATACGAGGGCTCACTGACTGATAAATCATATTCTGTGGCCTTTAGAGTCAACCCAACCGAACACCTAAGAGAGTTTGGAGTGTTTCAGCCTTGTACAACCTATGACAAGGAGCATTAAAGCTGTTATGGAGGCGTGTGGTGGAGCAACACATCACGAGGACACTTAGTTGATCTTAACACCTTTAACCTTTAAATGTGTCATCCATCTGTGTATGCTACCAGTATCATTATTTCTCCTTGCATAATGAGTTATGCGATTTCTACTTTCGTCAACATAAATGCCATGTGTGCTACACATCCCACTCCTCAAGAGTTCAGTCAATGCCCTTTTCTGAGAGCTGCTTTGTGCGTGTCAGCGGTGAACTACCATTAGATGCAAACCACAACACGATGTCTGCAGACGCTGGCAACATTTAGCTTCCGAGTCCAACCAAGTGCATGTCCATGAATATATGTGCAGACATTAATTTCATACATTTGCTTATTCGATATGTGAATGCACTCGAGTGTCTGCATGCATTCTTTTAGCAGGTCATTACATGTATATGTGCACTTTTTTGCCTTCAATCTGCCATTATGAGTGTTTGGACAGAGGGGCTGAACGCTGCAGTATATCTCCAGACTTCACAAAGAAAACCGTTATGTAATTCAGACAGTCTTCCTGTCAGATTGACAGCTTTAGATTTTTTCCTCAACAAGTTGCAACTGAGGTTTCTCCGACCTGAGGGACCTGAATCTTGCTCTGTCCACGAAAGAAATACGTAAACTCAGAGTTCAACTCCGGACATGACACTCACCAGATCTTGATCTGTGATGTGTTTTTTTCTGTGATGTCAGCAGTAAAGAGAATAGAAAATATGTGCGGGAGGCAGAGAAAGCAGGGCAAAAGTGGGAGATGGAGAGAGAGAAAAGGGAATGTGGAAGTCAGGGAGAGAAGGGAAAACAGTTGGATGAAGAGAGAAATAAAGACAGAGGTGCCAGTGATTGGACAGAGGAAGGTGAGAGTGTCCCTGGTTCTCTCTGATGTCCACATTAAGTCCCTGTGGCTGCCGGAGACGCCTGCTCCTCCTCCACCACCACCCACCAGCTAAACACATGACACTTAGATGAAATAAACACACACACACACACACACACACACACACACACACACACATACACACACACACACACACATATATAGAAGGGGATGAGTTAGCCGCAGCTACTGCAGCTCCCCTGGCGAAAAAACTGATTTTGAGATGCGTGGGTGTGTGTGTGTGTGGTGTGATTGGAAGTAAAAGCACAGTGAACAGCAGAAGCACAGCACAGCCTAGTGGCAGCAAGACAGAGAGCCTGAAGCAGGATGAGAGATCAGTTCAAATCTCATAAATGACTTTAAATGATTGCGTTTTTGAGAGAAAACTTTTTGGCTTTTTGGCAACAAAAATAATGCTGTTAAAAAGATTCATTTGACATTACTCATGAAACCAGTAAAGCCAATGCTGATTTTTTGTACCTACTTCATTGTTGAGGGTGCACTACACAGTAGATGGCATACATGTGTAAAGTGACACTAAAACATTTATAGTGAGGTTAAATTAAATTCAGTTCATTATATCGTCTCGCTAACTAAAACGGAAAGAAAGGAAGAAAAATCAACAAAAAAAACAATGTCTGATAAATTGCCTCAAGTGATGTAATTTGGGTCAGCATCAGTGGGGTCTTTGTCAGGGGTCGTGCCGAGATGGTATCCCTCAATTTGAAACTCACGGAAGATAGTTGAGGTTAGGCATTGACCTAATGGTTAAAGTTAGGATCGGTCATCACAAGTAATGCAAATCTTTGGTGAATATCTCGACAGGACGGTTGGGGCTGAAGACTAAAGGTTTGTAAAGGAAGAAAATCTGGCAATGTTGAGTTATAAAGTGAGTTCATCAGACCATTGTAGCCCACTCCTCATGTCTGCTTGAGGCTAGCGGCTCAAGGCCACATTAGCAACTACTAGCATAACACACCAGAATCTCTACAAAGCACTGGTGGCAGTGGAGTTGCATTGTGGGTAATGCAGGCGTGTGAAGGTAATTGGCTGCGTGCTTACCGTCACTGTCCTGCTGAAACATGAATCATTCCACCAGAACAATGTGTCTGTTATCTCTTCTCCAACGTTTGGCTTAGAGATACATGCAGACCAATAATAAAAGGCACATACACCGTATATAAGTGAAACCCTTGTCTTTACTAGCCGACATTCTCTTGAACAAAATAAGCGTATACATGTGAAAATGAAATATATTTCAAACAAGATGTTCACAGTAAGTGAGCAAAGCATTATGAGTGTAAGTATTTCAGAGTATCTTAATATCGTACCATCACTTCCAACCAATACCGTTACCCACAGCTACCTGTTGTCAGTGGAAAACATATTTTTAGGATAACAGCATTGGCAATATGCTGTAAGACAGAAAAAAAGGATTGCCTGCCTTAGAGCTAAAACACTCTTCACTGTCACACTGTAGCTTTGTAGGACCCTGACAATTAGCACCGTATTATTGTCTGAAACAGGGTTTTCCACATTGCTAAATCAGAGCATCCCTATTTTGGCTGCATACATTGTTCCCTGTCATTTTACAAGTCTCCCAGGCCTTGCTGTTGAAACACACAGCATGATGTTCAAACACGTCCCTGCTTCACAGCAGGACGCTGTTACACAAGTGATGAGCACTGCTCGCTCTGCCTCACAGCTTCCATCTGATCACTAAATCTTTCGCTTCTTGCTCTGCCTTTTCTACAGGACAGGCTCTAATGTAGCCGCTCTGCCACACTGTACCGATTGGTGAACTCACTTTTGACAGGCAGTGTGTGTGGTTGTGTGTGTGTGTGTGTGTGTGCATACCTGTCTGATGGGTTCTGGGACCCGGTAGCGGCAGCAGGAGTGTGTGAGGCGTACAGCTGTGTCCACACTGATGTTGTGGCCGACGGACACGTACACCGGCTTAGAGCTCTTGTCGGAGCTCCGCAATGCCTGGACACAAAAAGAAATGGCTCTCGTTACTTGGACCACATTTCTCCCTCCCTCTTATTGTGATCGGCATACACATTTTGTTGAGTTTGACTTTCAGTCGGGTGGGTGCTCTTTGAAGTCAGCAGCAACAAAACAACATCTTTGTTAAAAGTATATGTTTCTATTTTTTTGTGTGTGTCTGTCCTTTGCCGCACCTTTCCAAGCACTTTGCCTGAGGCGGCTGTGAGTGGGAAGCTGTCTCCTCCTTTCTGCAGAGCAGCTATCTGCGGAGGCAAAGACACAAAAATCAAAGTAAAAAAAAGATGCACGGCAATACAAATAGCAGCAAAGTGAAGCAAACGATTAACCTGCTGTGGAGGCTTCTCGCTCTCTTCTTGTTCTTTAAGCTCTGGGACTTGACTTTCATCGCCATACATTTGGAGCTTTGGTATGTTTTCACACTCCAAACCAAAGCACATTTTTGAAGGATAGCAAATTCTTGATTGACAAGAAATAATAAGTGTTATATTTACTTCGATCGACAGGCGGATCGGTGCGGCTGCAGCAGTAAAGCAGGCGCTGCACCGGACCGTCTTGGTGAAGAGGGAGCTGAGCCGGAAGGCAAAGCTCTCAATTTACCACTCGGTCTACGTTCCTACCCTCACCTATGTTCACGAACTCTGGGTCGTGACCGAAAGGACAAGGTCGCGGCTACAAGCGGCCGAAATGAGCTTCCTCCGTAGGGTGGCCGGGCTCAGCCTTAGAGATAGGGTAAGGAGCTCGGTCATCAGGAGGGAGCTTGGAGTCGAGCCGCTACTCCTTCGCGTCGAAAGGAGTCAGCTGAGGTGGTTCGGGCATCTAATTAGGATGCCTCCCACTGGAGGTTTTCCAGGCACGTCCAACTAGGAAGAGACCCCGGGGAAGACCCAGAACACGCTGGAGGGATTACATCTCCCAGCTGGCCTGGGAACGCCTCGGGATCCCCCAGAATGAGCTGGAACATGTTGCCGGTGAGAGGGAGGTCTGGGTCAGCCTGCTTGGCCTGCTGCCACCGCGACCCGACCCCGGATAAGCGGTGGAAAATGGATGGATGGATGGATATTTACTTCATATTCAAATGTTTATTTAAGAATACATGTTCCAAACCAAAACGTTGACAGCTTGATGAAAAATAACTTCTTGTTAGCGTGACTCTGCCGTTAATGTGTCAACTGTAGCAACCCTGAAAGTCATTATATTACACATATTAACACAAAAACAGCTGTGTCTGTTTTACCAAGGTGAAGCTTTAGGACACTAAGAAAATTGGGATTTTTCCTCCTCTACTTTGGACTTTGATTTTGAAGAACGCGGGTACGGCACAGGTGCATTTTGTTTTCTCCAGACAGACACTATCACTGTCAGGTGATTTCACTGATTATTATGTTCTTTGTTAAAATGGTGTTTGTTCAGGCTTTTCTACAAAACATTTGTCCAAAAACAGAAATGTACTATGTTCTATTTTGAAGAAGATTTTTGCTTCTAAAAATCCTCTTCACCAAACAAACTTCTGCTGAGAGAAACTCAATCAATAAAATCATTTAAACGTTTAATAAACCAAATAATAATAATAATAATAATAATAGTAATAATAATAGTAATAATCGAATATTGGATGAGACTATTATCAGATACCCAATATTAAAAAGTGATGGGGATTGGGGCCAAAATTATTATTATTTTTCTTATTTTTGAAAAGCAACAGTCAATATTTACTGGGCTAAAATATATTGGAAGTTATCACAGTTTGACTTCTTGTTTGCATCTAAATAGCTCTTTTCATAGCCGCCACTGAGATGCTAGCAAGCCAGTTACTTCATAGACATTCATAACAATAAAAACAACAAAAAACAGACTTGATCCTCAAGGAGCACTCTCCTTAAACCTGAGAAAACCATGGCCTTAGAGTCCACAGTGGCTTCCTATTAAATCAGTCATACTAAGAAAAATAACTAAAGAGTAAATCCGTGCAATCAGACATGATGACAGAAACTGGCTAAGATTTGCTGATAATAAAAAAAAATTGACTAAACCTAAGCGATACTTCATATTTCGGATTAGTTGATGCCGTCAAGGTGCCTGCATTGCACCATGAGATGCCTTGCACTCAAGGTGCCTGCATTTTAAAAACGTTTTTTCTTTCTATAGGAATTAAAGTTTTGGTTAAACAGTCGAAAAGGCCGAGCAAAGTCAGACGTAGTGATGTGGGCGTTGGCTGTTGACAGGTGTGCTGTAGGTTATGGGCCAGAGCGATGAAGGGAGCTTAGCCTCCATGATGGATGGGGTGTCTGCTCTCCTGTGACTGATTACAGCAAGCAGCCAGCAGGGAGACAGGGGGGGGGGGCCGCACACGGCCTCCGATCCTGGCTGGGATGAGGGCTGTGAGTGAGAGTGTGAGTGAGAGAGAGAGAGAGAGAGGTTTGGCTCCTATGAAGCAAGAGTAGGGCTGGAGCCAGAATAGCAGAAGTCAGAAAGACCGAGCAAGTCATCAATAACACACTAGTGTGAGTTACAGCCAGGCCATCACTGAGTGAGTGAGAGACAGAGAAGGAGGGGAAAAAAAAATAATTCCAACCAAAATTGTAATGTTCAAATTGAAATACATAAGGAATCCTACTGGGAAGCTACAGACCGGTATAAAAACCTAACATATAGTTTTAATAATTACAGACCACACAATGAGTGTTGTATCTTCACATTTATACCCTCTGTGCTCTGGCGTCTGATAAAGACACACACACACACACACACACACACACACACACACGCCTTTGCTCTTGAAGCTTGAACATTTAATGACAGAAACTGAGAGAAATGTCTCTCTGTAACCTTCAGAAACACTTAGACCACAGGTTTTTATGAAAACTCGCAGAGTTTTTGGAAACTTTTTCTGAGATCTAATTGAGCATGGCAGCATATTGCTCGTCAGTGGTACGTGGCGGCGTGCGTGTAGATCCGGTAATAGCTAATCTTATTTCTTACCAGCTAATTTTCTGAAATTTGGTAACATGGCTTGTGTTTCACAGTTTACTTCACAGTTAATTTCCTACTAAACACTCAAACACCAACGGCAGTGTTGACCTGAGGCGTCGCAAACCTGTGCCGTGTCTGTAGCCAAATTAGACAGAGCCCCAGAGAGTTACAATTACATCAATATGGACGGCAAACTGATCCAAAGCCGATAGCTTGAGCCCAAAGATGCATCATAGTCGTGTACTGTCGGAGCAACCCGATACCTATAATGAACATGTACCGAGCCACTGGGATTAGCATCAGCAGATATGTGTGACTGCATCCTCGGCAGCGACCGTGTTCTGTAGAGACAAAGATCAGATTCTACCCTGCAGCAGAGACGATCCAACATTTTTTGACGCCAAAGCCACTAACAGTAATTGAGGGAGATGGATACACTCCTACAGAGGATTGAATTAGTATGTTACACTACTACATGAAGACCGCTGGGGATATAAGCAGAGAGTCTCTTTGCCTGCTAATGGAGTTAGCACTGGATGAGCTGATTGCAAGAGCCTGCCATGCTGGTTCCCTTAGAAACTTTTCAACAGCACTTGTCATTCGCAAGTCCAGGAAATGCCCATCACTGCTCTTCTACACATCAACATCATGTACAAAGAATTTGCATATTGATATTTTCCAGAGGGAAAGCACTTGGGGTCAATTATCATCACTGTCACCTCAGAGCAAAGACAGAGTTCAAGCTCTTTCTATGAGGAGTTCACACCATGTGGGTGTTGGTTTGCTTCAGGTTGCTGAAGATCCCATTTAAAACTCTTTTCCAATAGTCTGTGTGTAAAGGCATCTACAGTATGACAAGTCATTTAACAGCTAATCTGGATATGTATTGAAGATCTTATATATACAACTCTTTCTATAGTCAAAATGAACAATGTCATTGTTCCGAAGAGAAAGTACGTCACACTTTTACCATTCAGCTTCCACTTTCAGATATCCACAATTGCACTTTTGATATCTAGAATGAACATTCTGGATATCTGCAATATAATTCTTACCAGGAAGAACATTTCAGATATCCAACTGTTAGTCGTCATGATTTTAATACAAGATATCCAAAGCAAAAAAAACATTAGAGATATCCATAATGTACTTTTGAATTTCCAAAATACATTGTGACTAGTTAAAATGTCATTACAGATATGTACAATATGAATATCTGCAATTGCAGATATCTGTTCTGGATATCCAAAAAGATAATAATATGCCAGAATGGCTCACATCAGTTTTGACAAGTAAAAATGGGATTGTGGATATCTGAAATGTTCAAAGAAATGTTCAAAAAAGGCCACTCTTTTTAAGACTCTGTATATCCTCTTACTTTAGACTAGCCAGACTTCTGCTCATATGGATTTAACTTTGACTTGTTTTTATTCTTTCCACAACAGGTCACTGAGGCTGCAGACTGAAACAAGGTGAACATTTGCATGTTAATGAGATCCAGTTAGTGCTGTTCCACAGGTATACTTTGACCAATGGGTATGTGTTCCAGCTTGATTTGCATTCAAAAAGTCACAGGCTTCTTTGTGCATTAGCCACACAAGAAGGCCTTGGCTTGTAATAAAAGACACACTGTCAAAACAGCATTACACTAACACGCACACATTCACAAATAGATGTGCAAGTGTGAGTTCACATGCACATTTAAAAGCAAGTGAGGATTTTGTCCTTTGCTTCGTCCCTGACATCTCTTTGCATATTTTGGAAAGCAGTGAGCAACAAACACAGCAGAAAAAAAAGAAAAGTGATTACACTTTGATAAGTTAAATAATTCATTGACCCGTGGTTGGCACCTCTTTTAAAGAAACAACATTTGTACACGGCAGGAATGAAAACAATATATGAGGTAGCACATCATATTCTCTACATTGATGACCCACAGCACAGAAGGGACAAAAACAAATCAACAACTTTGTCAAGTGTGGGAAAAAAAAAAACCTGAGTTCAAGTCAAGTCTCACCTGTGACTGGTGCTCTTCATTCTTGTACACACCCTGCACCTGCAGCAGGTTCTTGGCCACACCCACACACGGCAGCCCCGACAGCACTCCAAGATGACACGCCAGGCCGAACTCTGCAGGGTCCAAACAGGGACAATGTCAAAACAAAGCTCAGAGAAACCAGAGTTACTCTTGAGTCAAGAGTAACTGGGGTTTCAAGAGTGTTGACACCATAGTAATGACTTTGTTACTGCAGAGCCTTTTTTTAAAGAGAGAGACAAGACAGCTCAACTTGAACTCTGAACAAGTGTTTTTAAATGAGCTTAAATGGATCTGAATCTTAATATCTGATGCACCCCTTAAAGCAGAGCTCTTAAATACAGAAAGTAGCCAATCAGAATGTACCAAGAGCCTGGCTCAGCATGGGGAGGATTGGGATCTTCAGTTCTAGTAGATTGTTTGTTTTATTTCTTAGAGTACATTAATTTATTGGTGCTTTTGTTTGGTTAATTGCTAAAATATATTTATACTGATATGCTACTTGTCCTCTTTTGTTTTGTATGTAGAGTTTAATCGGTAGTGTTTGTTTCTGTGTTTTCAAATCCCCTTTGTTTAAAAAAGATGGTCTGATCAGCCAATATATATCATCCCCTTTGTGTTCAGTTAATTAGGTCCATTTTGTCAGGTCAGTTTTGTTCTGTTAATGTTGAGTTAGTAGAGCCTGAGTTAAACTCTCTTTAGTTTACCTCTTTTATGGGCCCAGAACTTTGTTGCTAATTTTATAACTTTCATTTTTGGGTAAATAAAACCCTATTTTTGAAAACCCACTTTTGACTCCTCATGCCTGCCAGCTTGGTCCCACACATGCTAGTATATTCACATCCTACCGTTTGAATATAATTATGAGCAGTTAAGTGTGGAAAATATGTTCATAATGCAAAAAACACCGAATAATAAGTTCTTCCCATATGCTTACAATACATGAACGCAGCATAACACCTAAATGGAATGCAGTGCTTTTCATGCCATGAAATGTAACATGTTGTAAAAAAGATCAATATAGAGCAGCTTGACTTACCTCTGTAGTGGAAGAGACCATTCCCGTCCACAAACACCACCTGTTGAGAGGGCACAACTGAAATGAAGAAAGCTATAGTACAAAACAAAGATGTAGCTGTTTACTGTTCATGTTGCAAAGTTGAAGGCTTATTGTACATTTGCACATTTTGATAGGCGACATGTCACAGCAGGAAAAACAGGTGTAATCAATAAGGTTAATCATGGCTGATGAGACACTTCAGTGGAGCAGAGGCACCGTTAATGTTATTAGATCCACCTGTGCTCTCCTGATATAAACTTTGATATAAACAACTGAAACTTTTTTTCTGCTTATCTGCAGTCTGTTGCCCTGCTGCTACCACTGTCTGATACAATGTCAGGAGATGAAAGCTTCTTTCACACATAGCTCCCAGTAAATTACTGGGATAACCTTTGAGGCACCGCCAGTGATTTCCTCTATACTCACACATGCACTACATTCAGAAATATGACAATGCTGGAACAGAAGGGGCAAGGAAGAAGTTCAGCAGAAGATGGTGATGCATCACTTATGGATGCTAGTCACCATAAAAGTCACCAGAAGAAGAAGGGGCAAGGCCAGCTGTACGTGCACTGGATAACTCGCTCCGGAGCCTCACTAGTATTCAATATTGAACTAGTTTGCGAGACATGTCAAATCGCCTGCGAAAGCATTGGCGTAAATGCTTTCATTCAAATTCAAGTACGTCATGAGCGGTGATTTGTTCTACGTGGAAGTGTCGTTCGTCGGACATAACCCTCAAGTACAAGCATTTTCCGTTAAATGTTACGAGATCTTGAGGTGGGAAATCGGTGGTACAGATTCCCCTGAATATCGAGCCCCGCTCCTACTCACACATGACCCCCTGTTCCCGGAGCATGTCGGGGATAGACAGACTGCATGTGTGAAAGGGACAATAGAGTGTGAGATAGCCGAGTGTCTTTATACTGAGTTTCAAAAGTTAGTGTTAGTCAGAGACAAGCTCCTCACACTGATGCTCTAACTCTTCCAGCCCCACGACTCCGATGAATTCTTGAAGCCTTATTTCAGCTGTGAATCATAAGTCACTGGGAAAAACATCACTTCAAAGGTGGCAGATAAACGGAGCAGTGACTGCATCTGTCCAGGGCTAAATGTCAGAACAAATAGAACTCTGTGTGTGTGTGTGTGTGTGTGTGTGTGTGTGTGTGTGTGTGTGTGTGTGTGTGTGTGTGTGTGTGTTGTTTCTGCACCCCTCCGTGCATGGTGACAGAGAGACAGAGTGGGAGGCGCGTGGGCTGCGACAAACGGAAGTGAGTGGGTGAGGATGAATTAGAGGCGACTTTTGGGGAGAGAGGGAGAACTGAAGAGCTTTGTCACAAGAGTTGCAATTCATTCAGTGTGTTTTAATGTGCATGAAGTAATGGAAGGTTTGCACCATTTAAATGAGCCGAATAGTGTCAGTGTCTCGTTCAGTGTCGGTAACCTCAAACCCGCTTTTATAAGTCTGTGATTTTCATATACTCATCTCTTCAGTTCATCCTGGAGACCTCAAAAATGAATGACAAAAATTCCATCTGTACTATGAGATTACAGCTAGCACGTCATCACTAATACTGATTCTAATGTGTAAGCATGTTAGCATGCTGGCTTTATCATTACAATCAAAGCACACCTGAGCCGCGGCCCCCCTGAGGCGAGCACAGTACAACTACAGGTGAGCAAGGAGACAATTGAGCCTGACAAGCTGAGACTGAGCTTTATGGCCACTGTTTATTGAGGACGAACCATCTTGATACACGGCAGCTTTCCCCTGGTGCCACGATTAATAGTTCAACATTTTGGGAAATAGCTTAGCATAAATACTGGAGGCAGGGGGAAACAGCTAACCTGACTCTGTCCAAAGTGGCAAACATTTGCCTCCCAACAGTGCTAAAGCTGCCTGAATCATTTGCATTTCTATAATGTTTGTGTTTCAATAAAAATAAATATTCTTATTTTTGGGGGAGTTGCTGCAACTATGTCACAGGTTGCAATATACAGTAAACACACATTTTTATGTTTCTGTTTGTGTTCAGGTGAAACCACTGATGTATAACATGTTGATTAGTTAGCTTTAGAGGTTTTCTTATGAATATTTTTTAATATTGGACAGAGTTAGGCTGGATCCCCTTGGCACCAGTCTTAATGCCAAGCTAGGCTAACCACTTCCTCCCTCCAGTTCTGTGCTCAAAGACAACAGGATGGTATTGATCTTATCATCTCACTCAGAAAGAAAGCTTGCATGCATCCTGCTCGAAATGTTTTGAAATAGCCAAATTTGAAACCAAATCACATGTGACTTTCAGAAACTGGTTGAATGCAAGCAAAACGGAAGAATCAAAAATGAAAGATCAAAGATGAAGAAAAAGGGATTGAAGTACATCAAAATTTTGAAGTTTGAATATCAATATCGAACTTCGAAAGTCAGGTTTGAATATCTATGTTTTTCTGCAAGTGGAAAAGTGAGCAACGCCTTTCACATATTCTTCAACACACAAGTGTGACATAGAAGACCCAAATAAAGTCTCACAAGTCTAACCTCAAAATGTTAAAAAACATCATGTGAGGTTCTCCTCTAGCACCACGATGAAGTAAATCCAAAGCGTGCTCTTTCATTTGAGGCAAAATGTCCTAACTATTTATAACAAGAAGAAGAAAGACAACTGCTGCACCCATCCACAGCAGTGCATTGTTTTGCTTCTGTGCTGGTACTTCTATCTGTTTCACCAAACTGAGGCCATGCCAACCGCCATCTACTGTAGGTAATACACTGACTATGTGAGTACCTCATACAACCCTACCTCTAAAGATCCAAACTATCCCTTAATCATCTATGTCTCACATTAGTGTGTTTGTGCAGAAGCTGACCTGAGGCAGAAGTTTGGGCTGGTTCCTCTCCAGCCGCTGCAGAGCATCCAGAAGGAAAGGGGTTTCTCTGAAGGCCAGGAAGCCAGCTATGTAGGGGGCCGTCAGGGTCACCATCTGACTGTCTTCATAGAGCACCTGGGAAAAGTTGAAACAGCGGTTAATATATCTCAGTACACCAACCCCTTACCTGCCTGCTCACTGACACACACCCATAAGAACAGTGTCAATTCAGTGTAATAACAGCACCGGGTTTGGATGCATCTTTTGGCCTGAATGCAGCTCAGAAAATGACACTGTCAGGATCATAGGGTCATGCTTTGGACAAATGCATCCACCTCAGTGTGTATTTAACGGTGAGTCCACAGATGCACAAACAAGCTGTATAAGATCATCACTAGCATCCCCCATCTGGCACAAAATGAAACATCTCTTACCTCTTGTTGATTTAAGGCTGTGAACATGTTCTTGATTTAAGGCTGTGAACATGTTCTGAGCATCAGACAAGTTATTGGATTTAAGTAGCCTGCTGTGTTCAGAAGTGGACACTGTTACAAATTAAGGTTATGCAGCTTTCAAATGATATTATCTGAGAAGATATTACAGCGAACATATCCACTCTGTAAGTCTCATGTTCAGAGACACAATGTGCCTCAGTGTTAGATGCTGCAACATCAGATACAAGCACCTCTTGTCAAGGCCTACAAGCAACGGCTACAAATGAAATATGTAAAAGCTCTCGCTGGTGGATGAAGGCAAGCCACTGGCGCTCGACACAAGGACGTTTTCATAACAGACTTAACTATCAGAAATGTCAACTAGCATTCTGGATCTGTCAATGCCCCCCCCCCCCCCCCCAAAATGTCATTAATTATAATGGGTTATATAATCAGAAGGGGCCAGCAGCCCATGTTAGTGCACAGATAAATGCCAGTGAGGAGGAATGCTTGTGAAAGGCTTTCAGAAAAGAGAATAATGAAATGAAAATTAGAACTGCCAAAGTCACTTCAACAACAGCGCTTGTAACAGGACTGGACCTTGAGCTGTGTTGTATACTAAACCTCAGCTCTCAGGTGTATTAATATTGCTTTTTATGCTTGGCAAATCTGTTTTCAGGAAATTGATTTGGATGAGATTAGACATCCACAAACCTTTGGGGTTAAGAATATTAAAATCCATCACATCCATGAGAAGAGGCGCATGTAAAAATGATTTGAAGGCTGTTTTACAAGGTGAATCAATAATATTCAAAGGCCAATTTGAGTTTGGATGTTTGTATTAAGAAATAAGCACTTTTCACAGGTAGTTCACAATTCCTTCATGATATTGTCGGGTCCATGTACGATTAGAATGCATTTGGCATTTCTATAGCACAGTATTACAGTATTGTTGATCTCTGTTCTCCTCGTACAATGACCCAAATACAGAGACAATGACTTAAATAATGTAAATATAGGTTACATTTGACTTATTCTCTCATATCCCATGTGCTCTTACTGTTTTCCAGGTTTCCAGGATACGTGGGAACACTGTTTAACTTATTTCATAATTTAGCAAAGATTTTTGCATCGTGGCTACCAGTTTGCAATTATTTTCATTTACAGTTGAGTTTTCACCTCTCCAACACTGTTACACTTTAAACTGCTATGATCAATATTTTTATATCAACAATAGATGATGTCAATCGTAGTGATGAGCCTTCAGAGAAATAACACCCAACTCTGCAGTTCCCCTCAGCTCTATGGAGATATTTAGCGTCTTTAAACTCATTGTTTTGGTTTTTGCAGCTTTGCAAACTTTACTGTTTGGGTTTTGGTTTCACTGCTCTCATCAGCCAGAAAGAAGGCAGTTGTTTAAGGTTAGAAAGCTCTGATAAACCCACTGAAAGCTACCTGCCTAGCAGCAAACAGCACAATGACAACTTTAGCATCTAGCTAGTGAACATAGTGGAGCATTTAGCAGATTAGGTGCTAAAAACACTGCTGGCCATAAACACTACAATTAATACAGCTTTCAATATGTGTTAAATACAAGCTATTATGAGCCAATGTGCAAATGACCCAAAAGTACAAATATTAATTTAAAAATGGAAGTGTATTCCAGAGCTTTCGACCACACAATTTCCTGATCTTCCTCAGCAGATGAAGTTTACTCAGTTGTCGTGAAGATGAGTCAGTTGTCCCCACATAAGCGTCAATAAGTGCGGACCTAAGCCCTTGGTTTGTTTGTAGTATAGTTAACTACTGATTCACGCCCCCAAAAAGTAACCTTCTGTTTCAAAGGTCAAGAAACTCGCTTTTGAACTTTCTTTTAGTGATCTTCCAGTTTAACTGTAATACAATCTCATGGCTCAAGTATCTATATATTCATATACCGCACTATATGTAATGTAAGGTACATCTGGCCAATCCAGTTCAGCAAATAAGGACATTTTCAGCCTTAAAAGACGGGATGTCTTTTAAGGTTACATGCAGAAAACTAAAATCAAAGGCAGGATGAGTGGACAGGTTAAAGCCTGAACAGGATCTGTTTTGGTAGAACAAAGTTCCTGATCAGACGGCTGTAGACAGAAAGTAAAAAGAGAAATGATCTAAGGTGATCAAATCACATCGGCTGCTGCCAAAACTAACCAGACAGCAATCGTGGCAGTACAGTATGAGTCATTTGATGAAGTGTGTTCACAGTCTTCCTCGTGCAGTCAAGATACGTAGGTGAGAAGTGATGAAGCCTTGCATTCCCAAAATAAAGTTAGCAAGGCTACTGTTAAGGGCAAATAAGATTTTCTGATAGTTTCACATCATGACATATTTTTATTATATCTTTCTTGTGAAAATGTGCCTTCATCTGACTAACACAGGTTCAGTTGTGGAGGTGTTGGGGCACTGTGCAACCAGACTGAGCAAAGGCATTCTGTTCCCAGCTGTCGCCACTAGAGGCCGACAAAGCTCATCGATTCCTCCATCTGAAAGTACTTGGTACAGTCGGGGGAACGTCTCACCTCCAGGTCGGGGTAGCTGAGCACCACGAGTTGGGCGCAGGCGTTGATGTCATCCCCTTTAATAAAAGACAGGTCCACTCCTCCGACTCTCTCCAGGCCCGAGAAGTCTGGACTTTGCTGCCAGTCCTCAGTGTCCTCCTCCATCACCTGCAGTCTGAGGCGAGCCTGCTCGCTGCACAGAGGACAGACTAGTAACAATCCAGTATTTCCAATAATGAGTAGTTGAGAAACTTATTAGAGTTTACATTCTACGATTACACATAGGTGTTTAGGCCGGCTGTGATATGTCTTTCTCTACACCAGAATAACATACCTGGTACCACACCATAATGAGGAGGAGTACGATTTGTTGAAAGAATAAATACATTTTGTGAGTTTGCTAAATACTCAGGAAATGTTAGAGTTTGGTTGCTGGTGTCTTAAGAAGGCAATTTATTGTTCTGTCTATAAAATGTCAGGGGAAAAAAGTGAGAAATGTTCATTAGAATTTAAATAAATAGCTTGTTTTATCCAAACAACAGAATACAGTTAAATGTTAATTTGTCAGTAAATGTTATTAAAATAACTGCCTGCAGATTAATTTTCTGCCAACCAAAGAATAGACTAAAGGTTTCAGCTCTGGTTTATTCCCCTGAGGCCTCTAGACCCTTTATTTGTTTCTGCCTAGAAGACACAACAAATGTCTTGTTTGGTCAAACTAACAATCAAAAACCGAATGATATTCAATTCATAACTATATAAAACAAAGAAAAGCAGCAAAGCTGGAATCAGGGAATGTTTGGTGTTTTTGCATGACTACTTTTTATTGTGAATCTAAACTTGTCTTCATATTCCCCAATTTGTACAATGTCATCTGCACAGAAGTTCTGCTCCGCTATTCTGAGACCAGGGACTGTGGACTACAATGTGTAGGTGGTGGTCAAGATTGTAATTGGTTTAAGACAACCCATGGCCTACTTCTCTACCCAGGGCTTTGCATACCAACACACTGTCCTCAGCTGGACTTTTACAGCTATACACACACACACACACACACACACACACACACACACACACACACACACACACACACACACACACACACACACACACACACACACACCCCCCAGATGGAGATGGCAGGCACCATAAGGACATAATGTGGAATCATGGCGTTATCACTGGCCTTGTCATTACAAACTCACAAATCAATGGCTGCTGGGGACTGATGGTACAACTCCAGAGCTGCTGGCAGAAGAGTTACAACAACATAGGGACCCAGACAAGTGCAGCAACATCTGTCAGCACCTTATGGAGCACTTTGTTTTTGTTTTTTGTTTTAGCAAGGTAATACTTCGAGTCAGCTAATGATAACAAGTAGCTACACTGTTTGGAGATAAGTTGTACATGTATGTGAGTTAGTGTAGGCTACTGTATAAAGTCCAGGTGTGTAAACGAAAGAACAGCACTCTGACCTCTCCCATTGGTTGACCAGATCTTCTCCAGGAGGAGCGAACATCTGTATCAGTCTGGTGAAGAGGACACAATCAGGTGAGGGGGGAAAAGATTTTTAATAAGTAAAAAAATTAACTAACAGTAGCAAACGTGAGCACCAGCGCTCGTATCGTGTCTCTGTTTTGCTTCCGCGTACTGTCGTCATTGCGAGGGCGGGGCCTGCGTCTCGCAAAAGTGTGGTTCATCCTGCGGGTTCATCCCGCCATCTAGTGGCCAGAATAGTGAATTACACAGACACATCTTTCAATGTTTTCTTGTTCGGATCCATCCACCATAATTAAAAAACAATAATCCAAACAGCTACCAAGTTATTAAGTTATTTTCTGGTAATATTAAGCTCAGTTATATTATAAGATGAGATAAGATAATCCTTTATTAGTCCCGCAGTGTGGACATTTACAGGATTACAGCAGCATCGTGGATAGTGCAAACAAGAGACATAATAAAAAACAATGTATCAAAATAAGTAAATAAGTAATAAACAATAAAGAATCCTAAATAAGTAAAAAATCCACAATAACTAAAAATATTATATATACAGACAGAATAATTGTTATATTATGTAATATGTTGTATTATCTGTTTAATGGACTAAAAGCAGCTCAAATTGAATGTGATGATGCCAGTACAGGGCATCCAAAATATGACTCACTAGATCTGGGATGAGCCTGTCACAGCTTCACATCAGCAAGTAAGGCAAAAAAATGTACGATCAGCACAGAGGATGAGAGAGAACTGGTCTGACACCAACATGTCCAGTGATCACTGTCATTTTTTAAGGAGGAGAGAAAAATCCAAAATCTGATAAGTGGACAGAATGTTTGATGAATAGAACAAAGTGACAGTAACAGAGACAAGACACTGACCACAGAAATACAGAGAGGCAGATAAGTACTCTGTTTTAGCAAAGATAATGAAAGCACGGCACACTTGACTTGGCTGCAAATAAAATTCCAACTGATGATCGGAAAATTCTACATCAAAATATTAGATTTTTTAAAAGGGAGGATGAGTGATCCATTAGACTAGCATGGCTCATCAAAGAAGAGGTATGCTGAGAAAAACACTGGAAGACAGGAAGTCTGCCTGGACTGAGACCGACATGTCCGCTGATGAGGAGACTTCGAAGATTGAAACAGGAATGGACAACGAGATAAGAGACGAGCAACAGAGGATGCAGAGGCACATGTGAGCTCAAATTCCATTAAAACAATTTCACAAGTGCAAACTGTATCAACTGGAGTTGCCCTGGAATGCCACATAACCATGATCTTCTCGGTTTGATTCTTTCTCCGCACATTTCTGGCCTTTTTTGCAAATAGAGGCCAGAAATAAATAAATCCGTCAAGCAAATCTTGAAATATTCATACCATATTGAAACATGGTGTACCTCAGGGCTCTGTTTTTAGCCCTCTGCTTCTTTTTGTTTCACATCTTGGCCAAATTATATGGCATTATACTGCCACACCGATGATATAGCACCACACGTGTATGTAACGCAGATAATCACACCAGTATTAAGGAAATTAGAGCCTGGCCTGACTGCTGTCACACGACTTCCTATGTTTAAATTCTTTTTCAAAAAGAGATGTTGGGCCCTTTTCCCTGCTCCACAGACATGGTTTTAATCAGATATCACTTTAAAACCGTGTGATCTTGCGATGTTTGACCGTCAAGAACCTCTGTGTTTCTTCTCATCCTTTTCTATGCTTTGATTGGAACATCAGAAAGCCAACAGCACTACTTGTTTCAAGTAAAATGCCGACAATAGAACTGACAGCAGCTAAGTGAAAAGAAAGAGACTGAAAACAGCTATTTGAAATATGGAGATTCAGGTCAGTGGTAACAGATTATTGTTTTTGATCATTGCAGTGATGCAGCAACCATGAAACCCGTTATTATGATTCTCATTAATTAACAAGTCATTTAAAGTGAAGACAGGGACGTGGTGATTACAAAATGTAGGGAGGCACACTAACACAATTTTCAGCTGTTCTCTGAACAATGTGTACAATAAAGCTGATGTAATCATTGGGCAATGGATACACTTTGAAATTCAGTCTCAGTTCATTCAAAGTTAACTGTGAGGTTCCAGGTCAAAGATATTTGTTTGCACCTCACTTTAAAGAAGTTGCTCTGATGTCCTTAGAGGTAAAAAACCTACACAATTATAAACCAATATGATTTTCCACGTTAACCAAGTTAAAGGTTTTCACCAACTTCAGTCCTAATCATAGTTACCATTTTCATAATTTTAACTCTTTTGTTCACATGTCACAAAAAAGAAATTGTATCGCCTTCTTTATACTAAATGGTAGGCGGAATTTTGATTTACTTTGGGAATGTGTCAATGATTAGCAACAATGATTTTGAATCATTATCTTCTGTGCCAGGAAAATAGCATTTATTGACCACAAAGGGTAAACATGAGAAGATGTCTAAATCTGGTGGAAGCCATAAAAGCGATCATTTTGAAGCCAGGGAATGTCATAGATAGATAGATAGATAGATTAATGCAGTGGGAGATTTAAATCCTTGAGGGTCCGAGTGTGTTTTGGATACACAGGTTATTATAGGAGCTGAGGATGAAATTCTAAAATATCAAACAAAATAAAAGTACACTCTTGTGTTCACCATATGCATTAAGGGGACACCCCCAGTGAATTGCATAAACATTGCAACTAACAGATATCAACATGAAACTTTGAAATTAAATTTTTGTATTACAAGTTCTCTAAAATGATTAGTTTGCAAACTAGGCATTATCTCGTTAACTTTTGGCGAATTTAGGAGAACAGAACAGAAAAAGTGTAGTAAAAGGGAGTTGAAAATGAATGCGATGCAAGTGAACATATATTCTCATAATTCAAGTTTAATGTTTTCAAAAAAATGTAAAGGCGCCATATTGTCATTAATCCAAACACGTACTTTATACATAATTCCTCACATCAAGGTACAGAGAAGATATGCAACATGAGAAGGAGGCAGAGAGACCGATAATTAAATTGTTGAACAGTACAGACAGTTATAGCCCTCATTCCTCAATGAGATCTTGATGAAAGGTGTACATACTGTAAGAGCTAAAGTCAGAGAGACAGCACATCATGATAGTCTTCTGGTAAATTGAAACAAAACACATCTGATCTGAGTACTTTCTTTATGCCTATGGCTTCAAATCAAGGTCCACTCTGCTTTCTAAGATACACACAATGAAAAGTGTTAGAAAGCAAAACAGCAAAGACTGGAGTGTACAAGTGACAAAGAGTCGACGGAGCGAGAGAGAGACAAAGTAGTAAAAGTTTAGCGTCGAACTGACGTCGTTTGTTTCATCATCAGTGGAACCATTGAAGAAATGGAAATTGATCCTCCTGAAGGAATAATCAGGGGAAGGAAAGTTAAGTTGTGTGATTTGTATACATGCTTCAGAAAGAAGAGGCCGAGTAGAGAAACACGCCTGCCGTGAGGGGCAGAGGCAGTGTTTATACACACACACACACACACACACACACACACACACACACACACACACA